TTCAACTATTGCACATGCTTGTTACAATTAAAAAAACCCAAGAAGATCGACCAATCGTGTTTTCTGTGTAATTTGACGCCAAGTACAGCACAGTTATCTGAGAAATTACCCAGCATATATTGTCATTCCACGATGAATCCCCTTTTCCAATGATTCGCCAAAATATTTGTGTCATTGGAAAATGTGTGTAGGAGTAGGGGAGGGGCGTCCAGGCTTAGTGATAACGAGATAGAGCATGACGTAGGTGACATTATGATGTCAAAATAGAATAAATGTGATGAAACGATGCATATTTACTTTTCGACAGCGCCTCAAGCATTTACTACTGAACCCACAAACACCGACGAACTGGAAGGCAATGACGTCACGCTATTCTGTTCTGTAAGTAACAAAGCGGGGCAGATAGTATGGTCATTGGACGGTGAAGACATAAGTTCTGATTCTACAATTACAACATCTACATCCGGGTACACCATAAATAGTCCGATTCCATCAGTTGATTACAATTTGAAGATTGAGTCGGTGAGACCAGAGCACGCTGGTAATTACGTGTGTTCAGTGACATCCGCCAATGGTCATCCTGCAATTACTAGTGGTACTGCTGTACTGACAGTCGAGCGTAAGTGAACAATTACAATATATTATACTTATATACCAAAATAATGAAACTGATGACAAAATAGCAATCACGCAAAAATATTAATAAATTTCACTTTTTTGTAAATCACAACAGTACACATATGATTGAACTTGATTCAAGTTTCGCCACGGACACTTACGCCCATGTTCTTGCCTACAGCTCGACAAACCTTCCAAACGGAACCATCAGACACCACAGTCGTCGAAGGCGAAGCAACAACGCTACAATGTTCAGTCAATAACAAACATGGCACTGTATCCTGGAAGAAAGGAAGTGACATCATAAGTGAAGATACCACGACAACTTCACATTACGCAATAGTTTCTACCACTCCGGGGTTCGACTATGACCTATATATAGACAACACAACGTTAGACGACTCGGGAGACTACGAATGCTACGTTTCTGATGCTTTAAATGGAGATACCGCCATCACAAGTCGGTCAGCTATATTGACAGTCTATGGTAATTATGATAACACAAATATGAGAAACAGAAAAATACATATATACATATATATACATATATATATACTTTCACTCTTGGATCAAAATAACCAGAAAAAAACAAGTTAACCAGATAACGAAACAAATTGTGTATTTGTGGTAATCGTTTCTTTTTAGAATAATTGTGTCTGGAATGTGAGATTGCAGAGTGAATTCAAATTATTATGATTTTAAAAAGCAGAATTAATTATTATGAACATGATACAATTAGGTTCATTATATTTAAATACAAAACTGTTCTCATCGTAATTGCAGACTTAGAAATTCAGAGTTTCGCAACGACGCCATCAGACGCCGAAGTTGTGGAGGGAAATGTGATCATTTTGCAATGTACTGTAGATCACAAAGAGGGTTTCGTGATATGGTCCAAAGACGGAGTTGACATTACTAATGACGCCACGGTTACCAATGGCAACCCGAAGTACTCGGTAGTAGGAGATGTTGGCAATGGAGAGTATCATCTACAAATCGATAGTGTTGCGTTGTCTGATGCCGGCACCTTCAAATGTCAAATCACCGAAGCAGACAATAGCCCGGCAATTGAAACAGCGGAAGTGACGTTGGATGTCATAGGTTAGTGCTCATATTCAGTTTGTTACTATCTTGGCAATGCATATATTTTCTAACTCAGTTAGAAAGTGTTATGATTTGGTTATTGTGTGTGCTGTGATAACATTTCTTAAAAAATAATTAAATAAGAAGTCATGGAATGTATGTGTTGTTATTTATGAATAGGGCGCCAAGCATTCACAGACGAACCAGTGGACATTACGGCCGTAGAGGGAGACTCAGTAATCCTAACCTGCTCTGTCAGCAATAAGCATGGTGCACTCTCATGGATAAAAGACGGTGACGTCATCAACTTTGATTTAAACATCACCAATGATGATGAACATTTCAGCATTATGAGCACATCGCCAAATACGGAATATAATCTAAAAATAGACAATATTCAAATTAGACATGAGGGAAGTTACATATGCAAAGTGTCAGATTCAGTTGATGGCGATTCAGAAATCATCAGCCAATCAGCGATTGTCACAGTTCATGGTAAGTAATGTGTACGTCATTTCCGCTCACCTATAATTATACTACTTTCTGACATTTTCAATAATAATAATAATTGTGTGTAAGTGACTGTTAGCAAAATGGCTGATTTTTTTTCTACAGATTTGGAAAGCCAGAATTTCACATCATCACCAGTCGACGCAAAAATTGTTGAAGGCAATACACTGACTCTAAGGTGCAGCGTTGAAAACAAAGAAGGCAGCGTCATCTGGTCTAAAGATAACGTAGACATAAGTACAGATCACACGGTTACTAACGGGGATTCCAGGTACAGTATTAGAGGAAATTCAGACAATGGAAGATACAATCTACAAATACGAGATGTTGCTTTATCAGATGAAGGCTATTATGAGTGTCGTGTGACAGCAGCAGACAACAGTCTGGAGATAAAAACACCGAAAGCCTTCATAGATGTCTTACGTAAGTTTTATATTTATTTTAAATGTTTTACATATTTGTCACTGATTACTATATCGTGCATATACATAATGTTAGTGGATACTTCAATTTGATTCGGTATGTTACTAACGAAGAGGGCAAAAGATCAGATTCTTATTAGTTTATTAAATCTTGATGAGAACTATTTTGTTGATGAGAAATATTTCATGAATAATATATAATCAAGGTCCTCGCGGTTTGGTGACAATTACGTGTGATTTTTGAAGATCTAAAAAGTAGCTATATATATCTTTGAACTAAACCTTCTAAGATTCAGAATGCCTATATTACAATGAAACACCCCGTTCCAGGTTCGATATGTACTGGCGGCCAATCAAGAGTAACTAAACATCGTACATACTAATTAATTGTTTCGCTATTAGCTTCGCAGAGTTTTACCGTGGTACCCACGTTAACAGTGGCCGTTGAGGGCCAAACGATCATCTTCGATTGTGCTGTGAGCAATAAACATGGCGTATTGTCGTGGAAAAAAGATGGCACCACCTCTTAGCAACGACGCCACTATCGTCGCTGCTGACTCACGCCTGACTATTCTGAACCCGTCTGTTGGCGAATACAACCTACAAATCGATGATGTCAGCGTAAATGACGTAGGAAGTTACGTGTGTTTCGTGTCTGAGGATACCGCAATTGGGGATTCGTCAATTCAAAGTAATCCCGCGAATTTGATAATGCAGGGTAAGCCTATTTTAAAGATATACGTAGTAGTCAATTTCCAACCCAGTCTTCTCTGATCACTTGCACATAGTATGTATGCGTTTGCAAATTGCACACATCTTCGAAAGATTGGCGTTTCACGGGAGAGCAAGATTATAATATTATGTTGACATAGTGTACATTGATACTAGTGAGTTGTTTTCAAGTACAAAAACGTAAAATATATATTTGGTCAAACTCATTATAGATGCTGCTGTTCAAAATATGACTAGCGTTCCTGAAGATACAGAGACGATCACAGGGTTGGAAGTTTCACTCGAATGTTCCGTGTTCCATAAAGAAGGCAATGTCATTTGGTCTAAAGATGGTGTCGATATTAGCAACGATGTGTTCATTACAAATGGCGATTCTCAACTATCAATTGTTGGTGATCAATCAGCTGGAGAGTATTATCTAAGAATTAGTAGTGCAGCTCTATCAGATACAGGCGTGTATCAGTGCAGAGTAACACCAGCTGATAACAGTGAAGAAATTATATCACCACAGGCCATATTAACAGTGGAAGGTTTGTAAAAACATATATTCACTATATTCAAGAACAGCTATCAGAGTATAAACCGCCCGACGCAATTCTTTCCAAAATAGTTGTCAGGACAATCGAATCCTTTTTTTCATCTTCCAAGTTTTCGTCAGTGCTGCTAGCTCAGAAACTGTTACTCGTGGTCATTATATAAGTTATTCTGAAAGTGGAATTATATCTCAATTTGCTATTGATTGATTTATCAGTTATGCATATCATAGTGCACAATTTATGATTAAATTTAAACATCACATATGGCACAATGCTTCATCTACAGAACCACAATCGTTTATCGTAGAACCAGTTGAAGAAGTGGCAGTAGAAGGTGACGTCATAGTCTTGACATGTTCTGTAGAAAACAAGCACGGAACGCTGCATTGGAAGAAAGACGGCGCCATTTTAACTGAAGATATGCAAATAACTGCCAACGATCCAAGTCTCAGTGTAGTGACGTCACAGCCAGGAAGAGAGTACAACTTGCAAATCAATGCCCTCAGCATGGAGCATATGGGAGAGTATTTGTGTCATGTAACTAGCGCAGCCAATGGAGACGTTGCGATTGACAGTGATTCAGTGAAATTAACAGTGTATGGTAAGTGTTGTGGGTAGATAGACAAGCGGGTTTGGGGCCGACAGAATAACTTTGAATCACTAGATTTAAGTATTGCATTTTTATGTAATAATTATTTACAACATGATTCTCTAAACACATATCTCACCCACTAAAGACACATGGTCCTTGTGATATCTGTGGTTGTATAAAAGTTTCCAATGCGACAGTAAAGTGACGTAACTAATTATGATCGTGTGCGTAATTATTATTCATTCACAGATGCAGCTGTTCAAGATTTTACCACTGTTCCTGTGGACACCAACATCGTGGCGGGGAAATCAGTTATGCTTGATTGCGTAGTCAGTAATAAGGAAGGTGATGTAATCTGGTCCAAAGATGGTGTTGATATTACTAAAGATGGGACAGTCATCAACGGCGATGCCCGATACAGCATTGCGGGTGACGCGACAAATGGTCATTATAACCTGCAGATAGACGACGCTGAGGTCACTGATACTGGTGAATTCCAATGCCGTGCAACTGCAGCAGATAACAGTGATGAAATTAGTACGCCCAAAATAGATTTGGTAGTAGACGGTGGGTCATATTATATATTATTCATGAATAGAACACCCTCATTACACTTTCATGAAGAATCGTTAGATTAAATGTTTAAAGCTGTGTTAAAAAATATAAATTCTAATTAATAAAATGATTTTCAATTTATTAATACGCTTTCAGGTTTGTAAATGTTTTAATAATATCCATATCGAAACTTATTGGTAAATTTATATTTGTAGATCCTCAGACATTTATTGAAAAACCAGATGATGCCACTATCACAGAAGGCGAAACAGTAATATTTAATTGCTCTGTGAGTAATAAACATGGCACTCTACACTGGAAGAAGGACAGAAACACCATCAGTACTGACATGACTATCGATGTTAATGACCCCAATATAGCCATTGTTTCTGATAATCCGGGGGTTACATATAATCTAAAGATGAAGAATGTTATTCCTGATGATGCAGGAGTGTATGTGTGCTACGTCACAGAGGCAACTAATGGCGACTCTTCTATTGAAAGCCAGGCTGCAACACTAACTGTGTTTGGTAAGGCAATTTTTGTTGAATGTCATATCATGGTTTAATCTATAGTGTGCCAGTGGTTTACATGTTATACACCTGTTATTCATATAAATGCTAACAGTCACACAACGAAAAACTATTTAGGAAGGAAGGCCAATAATAATGTTCATGGTGAACATATTTAGGAGGTAGCTTTAAATAGTACACAGGTAATATGACAAGAACATTAATGCAATTATTCTTTGTAGAATATAAGGTCACAGTTTAACGAATCTAATACGCATTATCTTAGAACTCAAAGCAACACACTCATGAACAAAGAAACAAACAATTCAGAGACATACATACTGCAACACGTGGCCAAATAAAAAAAATTACATGTGGACATCAAGAATCAATAAGAAAGTTTCAAATTTCATAGTCACAGTAAAAAGAACCATTTGAGTCTTAAATGCTAATTCTTAGTACTATACCTTTAGATCTTGCTATACAACAGCTTGGGACAACACCATCAGACTTGGACTTGGAGGTTGTTGAAGGAAGTACTGTGGTACTACAGTTTTCTGTGCAGCACAAAGAGGGATTTGTTATTTGGTCAAAAGATGGTGCGGATATATCCAATGATGTCACTATTCTCAATGGAGATCCACGCCTAAGTATGGTCGGTGATCACACGTCTGGTGAATATAATCTGCAGATTACTGATCTTTCTGCAGAAGATTCAGGCAGTTATCAGGCCCGGGTAACATCAGCAGATAATAGTCCAGAAATTCATGCTGAAGCATACACTTTAAGTGTTGAAGGTAGGAACAAGTCAAGCTCTTATATTCTAACTATAGTCTTGACTTCTTTATGTATCTCAGTGGGTCTGATTCATAATATAGTTGTAATTGTTTACTGGAAATTCTATTTATTTCAGCAAGTCAATCATTCACCACAGAACCAAGTGATATTGGAGAAGTTGAAGGGGAAACAATTACGTTACCATGTTCCGTTAGTAACAAACATGGCAGTTTGTCATGGAAGAAAGATGGTGTTGTCATCAGTAACGATGGTGTCATATCAGTTTCCGATCCTCGTCTCAGCATAGTGAGTCCAGCACTTGGAAGCGATTACAACCTACGGATTGACAATATCAATCTCGGTGATGACGGAGAATACACATGTTATGTGTCCGAAGCTGATAATGGTGACGCTGCAATTGAAAGTGGTATTGCAAAGCTGACTGTTTATGGTAAATTTACCAGTCTTTATACACTCTTCTGAAAATACTTACAAATTAAAAAAATATATATTATGACAAGAAATGTGAAGTGTGTTACTGTTGTCAAATATTAGTATTAAACACATTTTCTTTCTATTCAAGATTCTGAAGTACAAAACTTCACAACCGTTCCCAGTGATGTCATCTTAGAAGTTGGTGAAACAGTTCTGCTCACATGTACAGTGTACCACAAAGAAGGCACACTTATATGGTCCAGAAATGGAGAAGATATCAGTAATGATGTTACCATAACGACCGATGATAACAATTATTCTATTATCGGAGATCATGATAGTGGGGAATATAATTTACAAATCACTAATGCACAGCCAGTCGACTCTGGGCAGTATGAATGCTGGGTGACAGAGGGTGACAACAGTGACCAGATTCGAAGTGGAGAGGTGTCTGTTAGCATCAGGGGTATGATATTCATGAATACATTTCTCAGTAGTAATCCGCATTTCTCAGTAGTAATATGCATTTCTCAGTAGTAATATGCATTTCTCAGTAGTAAATGCATTTCTCAGTAGTAATATGCATTTCTCAGTAGTAATATGCATTTCTCAGTAGTAATATGCATTTCTCAGTAGTAATATGCATTTCTCAGTAGTAATCCGCATTTCTCAGTAGTAATATGCATTTCTCAGTAGTAATACCTGCATTTCTCAGTAGTAATATGCATTTCTCAGTAGTAATTATCATTTTCACAGTTCCTTATCTTTCATTGTCAGTATAATTATTATCCGTACACGTGTATACATTATAAAAGTAATTAATCTTAGGTCCAATATCAATGGTGTTTCGGGATTATGTTCTGCGATTATTTATGGAACCCATATTTTCATTTATTTATTGTCAATCGCATTTAGGACCCGACTCGCCACTTAGAGGATACCCTAAGTGCACATCAAGCACAGAAGATAAACTTATTCTCGGGGAAACACTCATCTTAGTATGTGAATCTATTGGAGGCAATCCAGCAGCGAATTTACGTTGGGTCCAAGATGGCATGATACAAGAAGGTATCGCTATGGATACGAACACAGAAGTGCGTCTGAGTTTGGTGCTGACTGTAACAGAAGACTTACTGGGGACAGAGTTCATCTGCCAATCAAATCATCCAACATTTTATATTCCAGAGACATGCAGTATTGGTCCATTGGATATTGACAGTAAGTGAAATGAGCAATGATTGTTATTATCTTAATGAATATTGTCAGACACATTAAATCATAATTTCAAATACTTTATTTTTGTTTCTACAGTTTCTCAGACACAGGTTGTCCTGTTTTCAAAAGACACTGACAAAACTACTAAAGAAGGAGCCAACATGGTTATGGAATGCACTGCCCTGAATAAAGCAGGCACTCTCCATTGGATTAAAGATGGACAGATGATCAGCAGCGACACTGTCATGGAAACGGGACAGTATGACGCCAACAGGTATTTGTTGTTGAAATAGTAAACGAGTCATTAGTTAACTTGACCTGACAGAGAAGTATATTGTTGGTCACAGTATATAAGATATCAATATTCGTTCTGTATGGTGTTGGTCACAATACACTTTAATATATAAAAGAATATCAAAAAAAAAAAAAAAGAATTCATAACACACCACACAAAACAATACCTAGCACTGTCAACAACAACATTTAGACCATTCACATAGCAGGGACAATTTGTCGATGGAGGGCGTCCTCTACACGTTTTTCGTAACTAGAGGGCGTGATCTGAAAATTGTCTTACAATGTATTCTAGTTTAATGAAGTACCTTTGCCCCAGGTATTCCATCCGTGGCGATCAGTCTGTTGGTGAATACTTCCTAAACATCGACGATGTCAGAAATTCAGATGCTGGAACTTACTACTGTTTGTTGTCGTCAAACGAAGACGGAATGCCGATGATGTCATCGAAAGCAATCAACTTCCATATAGACGGCAAGTAATTAATTTATAATTGAAATATATATTTCTTTAATATTCATATCTATAGGCAGCTCAATTTTAAGAGGGCCGACATGAGAGAATGAAAAAAAAAACACACACGCTACATTCTGATACAACTATATGTAAGCGGACATCAAAGTGTCCCGTTACCCATATTCGAATTCTATTTCACTTCATTAATTCCGTTCTGAATATATCAAAATGTCTTAATTACAGATTCTCTCGTCTGAGTTCATATCAAAATACCATCGAGATATGTAAATAACTAACAAGATCTGCTTTTTGACTATATTAACAAAGTCAATGCATGAAGATGTATATATTTGGTTCCGTTATCCTTCATAAAATATGTACTTACATTTCATCTAATTTCACCTTATATATTTTGTTTTTATAGATGCCATTCCACCAAATATTAACTTTCCGCAATGTACAATATCCAGTGATTACGTCATTGATGGAGATACGGTGTTATTGACATGTATTACTAAGGGTGGTGACCCTCCAGCAACTTTACAATGGGATCAAGATGGTCAGAATCGTGAAGGCATTTACATAGATGAATCAATAGTGGGGTTACAAATCAACGCTAGTGCCGAAGTTAATGGAAATACATTCACGTGCACATCAAGTCATTCAACATTTGAGAATCCGCGAACATGTGTTATTGAGCTCAGAGTTGAAAGTAAGTCGCACAATACCACATAAGTGGCACATTCTTTTCAATGGTTTCACTTACTATATAGTGCATACACTTAGATCCATTTCACTGTTTAAATGTTCATGTTTACTATTCAGTACTTTCAGTACAGTTCTTTAGGTGGTTGCATTTGTACAGTTACACTTTTCATGTGTACCATGCACTACTCGCCAATAAGTTGACCGCGGTGCCAAAGTGGCACTGAGAATTATTAGCGTAACACTGCTGGCATATCGGAACACCATTGTGACAAAGATATTGTTCTCACTTCATTCATTCACAGGTCGACCAACAGATACTGGCACTTCAGTCGGATTTTGGATAACCCTAATATTTTTGATAATAGCACTAATTGTGATACTTTTGATACTGTTTTTCTGTGTATATAAAAGGCGGGAAGACGAAAAAGGTAAAACAACATACGCCTATTATTCCAGTACTAAGATACTAGTACGCAATATTCCATTCATTATTTTATCAAAATATATAACAGACATGGCGATAGATAGTTCTTTGTTTAAGTTAGTTTGTTTGTCTGTAATTTATATTGTTCAGATTTGTGTAATACTTCGGTAGATTTTCGGACACCATATATACACATTGATATGAACAACAGTTTGCTTCACTTACGATAAACACTTCACCATGTCACAATATCTAACGAGTAAACATTACTTTTCAGACACCAATCGTATGAACTGAAAGTAGTAAAATATAAATTGTAATAACTTATATTTTGATTTAATGTTGTTTAACAGAATATAATCAACAAGGTTACAAAAGAAACAATGACATCGAGTCAAGTTTAGCGTCATTACCTTCGAGAGATGAGCTGTATACTCATACTGGTAAACCTACGGGAGACGGGTTGTACATTAACCGACCTGTCATAAATACTGACTTCACGGACGTCCCGGCGGATGCCATGAATGTGGGAGCCGGGGTATCACAGACCGTGGAAAATAAACCTGTACAAATCCGAGAAAAACGTAAGACGGACGAGGCGACTAAAAAGCCAAAAAAGAAGAAGAAACCAAGAAGAAATCAAAAAGAACTGAACGCTATGCAATAGATACAGAAGACACAATTGATAAGCTAGAGCGACGTAGCAAACACAAGAAGAAGGATAAGTATGAAATACACCCTCCGAGTAGAAGTAATTATGCCCGAGCAGAATCCGAAAGTGAAATGACTTTTCCTTCTTACAATGAAACCCACGATTCCGGACGGCATCACTACGGATTCTCCAACGGAGGCGTACACAAACATCGACGATTTCTGACGTCAACGCCCAACCAAATGGGGTATCTTAATACAGGCTATTCGCCGCTCATGCTACGACCTATGCAAAGAAAACCAATTAGGGTAACTCCTTCGCCAGTCGATGGTGGGTTAATAGGACAATTTCCGCAACCAATGTTAATGAGTTATACCCATCCAGAATCTGTGTCAAATGTCCTATCAGGAACGTCTGACAGAAATGAACACATTAAGATGTTGCGGGAGCAGCTTAGGCAGTCTCGTACTTGAACCAAGCAAACAAAGTCTTTAACTTGCTCTCCAATAGTGCATACATGGTCATATATATCACTCATTTTTCAAATTAACGATATATTGTATACATATATATTTTATCTAATGACAGAAATCTCGTTTGAGCCATTAAAACAAATATTTCAGGAATAATTTTCGGGAATAATAATTTGTTTGTATAAATGTTTAAGAAAATAATGCAGCTCCATTACAATTTTGCAAATCACTAGCACCTAGTTTATAGAATTTAAATGCCACATTTATGCTTTAAACAGTTCATCAATGTATCTAATTTGATATCACGTCCGCACATTTGGTTCACACACCGTTACACTATTTTTTAAAATCAACAATTTCCATGTTTAAAGTAGAGTTTTTAAAATTTTCTACCTATTTATTGTCACTTTTCATCGATAATTCAGAAGTCTTATGATGCAAATTTGAGTCTTCCATGTATTTTATTCTTCGATTTTATCCAATAAATTATTTTATTTTAGTAAATAAAACACATTTGCTCTCAGGTTGTTACGTATTGAGTTCGGAATGATGGATTGTTGGTAATCTGATTTCCCTTTTTCAATTCCCCTCCTGTACCCTATTAAAGGCGCGCCTAGTTTTCGTTGGATCTACAACCAAGCAAAACTAGTGTTGCATATTATTTTAGGGTGTGCTCTAATTGGTTTACACATCTCGTCAAACATAAGCTGTTATTTGATTTGAACGCGATTTGGATAGTGATTTTGAACGTCAGGCGACGCACAACAAGCGACCGGAATTTAGAGCCAACGGAGCCTCAACGTAATGAGGTCTGAGGTCTGACACCAATCTCAACTTTTTTTTAGTACTGATGGTTGACGGGGTATGTTCTTAATCCTACTTCTATCAGCCCCATAGATTTCTAAAAACTTGGTATAATTAGGGTTAATGCTACATTTGCCACGTTATTTTATATGCAAATGTCGAATTAAATAGACTACAGTATTTGCTAACTATACTAGTATATCAGCGACCGGATTTCCAATCAATAAAACATGTCAAGACACGAACGAATGAAGTCATTTACACACATTAGTTGTATTTCCATTTCACGTATAATAGGCTCGCTTTCAATAAATCAAAACTTACACCGCCGAAACACGAGATTAATAGAACATGCCCCGCCTCCTACAGGGAGTGTGTAACACGCGAACTCCTCTCAATAGGACCACATCCGCCTCTGGTAGATAATGGAAAGTACAATGAACACCTTTTCAGCTACTCAGTATATCAAATAGAATATTCAACAGTCACGACATCTCGTAAGATACGACCCACAATCAATTGATTGTCATCAATTAACAGCATCCGTTGTAAAAATAAAATAACTCGACCGTGACATACGTGACAATAGAATAGTCAGAATGCGGGAAATGACATACACTATAAGGAAACAGTGTTGGTGAACAGTTTAACAGTCAGATACACTATAAGGAAACGGTGTTGGTGAACAGTTTAACAGTCACATTGCAGCATTAAAAGTCTTGGATTAGTACATCAGAAATCGCAGTATACGGAGCTTCACATTAAAGTAAGTAATAAGTGGTTTCTTTCCTGAAAATGCATGTCATAGGTATATCACATGACACAGTCTCGTTCAAAGTTAAAGTTTACAAGACTTATCAGGAAGTGTGTTTCCTTCATTTAACCATTAGTACGTCCATGATTTAACTGTCTTGTCCTGTCATTGAGTGCATATAGTCGACACAATTCACCCCTGGAACATCAGCGGTATCAGGGGCGGATACAGGATTTTGTTATGGGAGGGGGGGGAGGTCCAAGCTTTAAAATCGGCAGACTAAAATAATGATTTTTTTTATATTATACAAAAACAAATTGAATAAATTTGTCGGG